GGGTTTGGGTTTAGGGTTTAGGGCGCCCAAACCCTGAAACATGACACTCCGGAAGAAGAGCGAGGCATGGGGTGTATGTTAAGGACTGTGCCCAAGCATTCCTTCGTCAGTGGCTTTTGGTGTGCTTTTCTAGGGTTCGCTAAACCCTAAACCCTCGACCTACAGAAGGCATTATGAAGCCCTGCCGAAACCCTGAAGGATCCTTGTAGAGCTTACAGATGCTAGATCATCTAATGTAGGGGCCTCAATATAATTACCAATACTGTTTTGGGTGGTCGTCAGTATAAGTACAATAGAATATGCCCCCCAAGCCCTATTCTCATTATTAAGGCCCCTATATTATTTAACCCTGACCTTCGAGCCTTGTTAGTAAGAGCTTGTGCGTGCCTCTCTGGGACACATGGGAAGGATATCTCGCCGCGAGCCGGGCCGATTTCCAGAAGAGCTACGAGAGGTGGGCCCAACAACATCCTGCATAGACCCCCTAACCCTTCTAATCCTTTTGGGATTTCGGTTTGAGGGTTCGGGGTTCAGGGTTTAGGGTTTCTTAGTCACGCCCGAAAGCCTCAACCAAAATCCTGGGTGCATGCATGCACGTGCCAAAACCGTCCGTGCTGATGAGCAGATGGTCACCCTTACCCAAGAGTCCCAAGCTCTGAGCTGCCCTAAACTCCCGGGTTTCGGGTTTAGGGTTTAGGGTTTAGGGTCCCAGCTCAAATTTCCCCAGCCCTGATAGTATGATTCGCTTGTAATTGGAGTCCTTATGACCGAAACTCCCGAACCCTTGACCCCTCAGCTTTCGTTTCCAAACCCTCAAAATTCTCCAGCCCCGAAACCCAAAATCCCAACATGCAGCCTGATACAAGCCCAAAAAAACTTTAGTAAGCATAAAATCTGGTCAAGACCTATAAACCCTGCACAGCCCTATCAATCCCCGCAAATCCTTGCAGCAGTCCTTAAACACCATAAACTCAACAAAGCCTGCAACCTCGTAGCTTATAACTTAGAACCTTACATCATCACCACTATTTTTCTTGGGGATACCTTGTTGTAGTTGCATCATGAAGGAGTCCAAAACCCAGTTCTAATTATTAAAAACGCGGATCTCCTAGGCCTCTTCAGATGGCCAGCAAGCGGCGCTCTGTGCTCCCGGACTCCATCACCGCCAAGGTGCCGATCTAGAGCCTCCCTGCCGTGGGGTTCCTGTAAGGGCTCCTTTAAAGGGTTCTACAGAAATTGTCTTAGATCTATAGGGTTCCTTTAAGGGATCCTTGGGATCTATAGGGTTGAGGGATGTTGAGGGTTGTAGGGTCTCAGGGTTTAGGGTTTAAGGTTGAAGTCTTAGGATCTAGGGTTGTGCGGGCTAAGAAGTAAGGAATGTATCAAGCTAATATAGGGTGTGCCAGTTTCTTTTTGGAACGGGGGCTTTTGTTCGTGCAGCACAAGTTTAGGGTTTATAAAGTTTTATGGTCAGGTACAGCCCTCAAGTGCGTTAAGTTCTGGCATCCCCTAAGCCCTGAAACCTAAACCCTAAAGCCTGAGCCCTGAAGCCTCATGTTTTATCAGGATGCCCAGGATACCGGGACTTCTAGCTGCGCGGATCTGGGATAAAATCAGTCCGTGGAGTTTGGGTTTAGGGTTTCGGGTTTCGGGTTTCGGGTTTGGGGTTTAGGGTTTAGGTTCAGGGTTCAGGGTTTAGGGTTTAGATGTAGGGTTCAAACTTCAGGGTCCCGTTGGGTGCAGAGCTTCAGGGGTTACGGAGCAATTACTATGGAGGTCTCAACCGGCGTTAATGACATAAAATCATCGTCAGGATAGAACTACGCCGTAGAGTACTATACTTCCTCGCAGTCGCTTTTAGTTGTTTATCAAGGCCACTACATTGGGGTGTTCAGTTTCAGGGCTTACGGCTTTGAGCTCGAAGAGTTGAAAGTTTTTTTGGCTTGAGGTTCCAGATTCTGCGGCTTTTGAGTGTCAGCGGGTTTGTTTTCGAGTTTGGATCGAGATTGGGGGGTTTAGAGGGTTTAGGGTTCGCGTGGGGGGTTCGGGAGGGTTTCGGGGGGTTTAGCCTCTCGGGTTTCACGGTTTCAGTTGGTGTGAGGTCACTGGGTACAGGGTTACCCTAAACCCTAAACCCTAAACCCTAACCCTCAACCCTCGCCCGACACGAGAGCTTGAAGCCTTGAGCTGCGAACTCTAATGCCTGTGAGTTGAGCCTTGAGGGTTTAGGGTTTAGGGTTTAGGGTTTAGGGTTTAGGGTTTAGGGTTTAGGGTTTAGGGATGCCAGAGCTTCAGGCATCCGAAGCCCTGAACTCCCATCCTGTGCGTTTTTGGTGGAGCCCCAAGCCCTAAACCTGAACTTTATGGACCCCTCAAAGCCTTGGATACAACTCTACAGCTCCTAATACAGTCCGCGTTCAGGGCAGCTAAAGAAAAGGCTCCTAATCAAGATGCGATAAACAGCTTTGTTAATGCCTTCAGACTGTTGTAAGACCTTCTGATACCCCCCGGAAACCTCCATGAAACCCTAATGAACTCCACTGCGGCCAAGACTTATAGTCTGCAATATAATCGTGGTATAGTATAATAATAATAATAATAAAATAATAATAATAAAATGCACAAAGCAGCATCTTTTCACACATTTCGCCCTTCTAAACTCGACCCTCATGGTAGCCTTTGTCCGAAGTCTAAAAATCCTGAACAACCCTAAACCCTATTCTCACAATTCTAGAACCCTTAAGGGAACGCGAAGAAAGTACCCTTACAGGGACTCCATGATATTATCCTTCCAATCTACACTGAAAAGATCCTTATTGCAAGGAGAAGCTGCAACAGATCATCGGCCCATTTATGCTCCGTCGTGGGGTGCTCGGCTTCCCCCTGACTTTTCCCCGCTGCTGCGGGGTCTGAGGGCTCTACAGCTTAGGGTTTAGGGCTTTAGGGCTTTAGGGCTTTAGGGCTTTAGGGGTTCAGGGCTAAGACTTGAAGGTTCAGGGATGTAGCTGAGAGTGTGTAGGAATATGTTAAACGGACTCGGGTTTAGAGTCTTAGGCTTCAGGTTTGGGGTGCGCTCCCTGAGCCCTTAACCCTGATGTTTCAATCCTAAGCCCTACAGGTGGAATCTCTCGGGGGCTCCTGGAAAATCTATGCACCCGATGTCGGGGGCTCCTGGAAAATCGATGTACCCGAAGCCTGCACGCACCCGAAAGGTAAGAAGACGGACCCGAACATCGTTCCGGACCTTCCGGACAAGGTGGAGATGTCTCACGAGGCCTCGACCCGGCAGGCTAAGCCGGACACCTTAGCCCCAAACCCTCAACCCAGAGTGAACCCCCTGAACCCTATACCCTAAACCCTGCTCCCTAAATGGGGAAGATGCTGGACTGCAAGGATTCAGCTGCAGGACTGCTTTCTAAGAAGTTCAATGCTGGGTCCCAATACTCCACATGCCCAGACGCTAAACCTTTGAACCCGAGTCCGCAAACCCTTGTCCGTGTGGTGGCAGAGGATGTTCGCAGAGGGAGAAAGGTGATCCAACAACACCAAAACACCAAAATACTTTCCCCAAGCCCCAAATCTAAACCTTAAGCCACCAAACCCGCAAGCCCTTGAGCCCTAAACAAACCCGAAGCTCCCAACCCTAAACCGTGAACGCCCAAAACTCAGCCTCCTTTACTGCAGGTGGAGCTCACGGCCTTCCAGCGGAAGCTCTACAAGGCGGTTCAGGAGGCCTACGAGAGGGATCGGGTGCCCTGGCTGAAGGTATACCAGGGTTTAGGGTTTAGGGTTTTAGGGTTTAGGGTTTTAGGGTTTAGGGTTTTGGGGTTTAAGGAGTTACTGGCATTAAGGGCTGCTAGAAGGATTTCTATAAGGGGTTACCGTAAAATCAAGGGTTGCTATAAGGGGTACTGTAAAATCAAGGGCTGCTATCAGGATTCCAAGAAGCTTTCTATAAGGGTTTCTACTAGATGTTGGATTCAGAGTCAGTCTAGGGTGCCGGGTCATGAGTACCCGCAGTGTCAGGACGATTATCGGTAATCCTTCTTCGTATGTTCAGTGCATTCAGTTTATCTCAGGAGAATTGTTTGCCTTAGTAATAGTCTTGTATTCGTCTTGTTGTTCGTGCTGTTTTTCGCATTATCAACCACCCTGCCCACAACCCTGAGGAAGTCTGCAAAGGTTGTCATGTAATCACCACAGCTTTCGGGTGTAAGGTAGAGTACCTAAGGTCTAGGTCTGGGGCCTCGGGGTTGGTGTGTAGGGTTGAAGGTCTAGGATTAGGGCCTAGGGTTGAAATCATGAGAGCCCACAGCGGCCGCAGTTATGGGATGCCGCGTGCCGGGGCGCTTCATGCGAACCCGTGGTTAGTAAAGCTTCTTCCGTACAGGAGGAGCATATTCTGGAGCCTACGATTCGGGCCCCTGGAGAAATCGAGTTCCCTCAGTGATCTTCTTTGTAGACTTCGAGTTTCAAGGCTTAGTTGATGCAAGGCCTTTTGAGCTTGAAGCCTGGAAGTCCCAAATCTTACTGTAGGGGCCTTAATTTGTTAGAACAGGGTTTAAGGGGGGGCCCTTATTATAATTATAGTATTATATACCCCCCAAACCGTATTCTCATCATTAAGGCCCCTATAGGAATCAAGAGCCATCCCGGTTTTGGTCTTGGATAAGTAAGCAAAGCCGAGGGGTAGTTTGGGGGGATTTGGCCATTGCGCCCCAAAACCTCAAGCCCATAAGCCCTACTTACAGCATTCCCAGCGAGTACCTGAAATCTGATACGTTTAGGGTTTAGGGTTTAGGGTTTCCTGAAATCTGATACGGTTCTGGTTCTGGTACGTGTGTATGTAGATGCACATGTGCTGCAGCTTCAGGAGCTGCTCGAGTACAGACCCCTCCCACCCAGAGTGTCGTTCCACACATCTTTTGCCACCCATGCAAAGCCCCCAGAACCTCGACTTTTGCATACTCAAGTTGTTAAAAGTGCTGCCAAGCTTAGACTACACTCTGGACCAAACCCGGAAGGTGCAGGAACGGTCATGGCTCCCAACAGATCCAGAACTCTTCAATCCTAAGAGGAACTTCGGGTTGCTGAGTCAGGTTCTCAGATGAAGACTTTGGGCCTTACCTCCAAGGCCCCATTCTAGTTGTTACGGGCCCCCCCTAAACCCAACCCTAAACCCTAAACACTAAACGCTAAACCCTAAGTGTTACGGGCCCCCTAGGTTAGTCTGAAGAAAACGAGCCACGCTATCCCTGGGTTCCGGGTTCGACCCACGACTCGCAAGACTCCCTCTGATTCTAGCCCAAAGCCCGACACCCTAAACCCCAAACCCCGAAACCCCAAACCCCTAAACCCTAAAACCCAAGGCCCTAAAATCCTAAACTCTAAACCCTAAACCCTAGTCAATGATTGCCGATACTATTGTGGGGCTTCTTATTATAGTTATAGTATTGTCTGCCCCCAAAACCCCATTAAAATTATTGAGGCCCCTACAGTATCGCTTCAAGACCCCTTCAATGACCCGAGGCACAGCTGGATCGCTCAGCTGCCTCCTACAAGCTCGCACGAAGCTGCTGGGCATGCATGCCTTGAGTGTTTGGGGCTTTAGGGTTTATGGTTTTCGGATGTTGGGGTGTTTGGGCTTAGCCGTTCAATATATTTTGTTGTTTGAGGGCGCAGCGGTTCAGAGTTTAGGGTTTGGGCGTTCGTGGTTTGCTCTTCAGGGTTCCAAGGTACAGGGTTTTCCATCGGCCGGCAGCCTATATAATCTCTAGATTTCAAGCGCACAAAAATTAAGGTGTGCGCTGCACCCCTACACAGGTTTTGCAGGAATTCAGTGTTAGGGTTAGGGTTTAGCATCCCTGCAGGTGGGCCGATAAATCCTTGTCTTGCCTGCCTCCTAATCTCCAAGATTCAGCCGAAACCCTCAAGCCTCAAAGCACCTAAGCACCTATGCAATGTAAAATCTCAAGCTTCAGACTTGAGCCACACATGTTGATGCAGCTCTCTGAAAGGCGGAGCTATCTTCAAGATGCTGCAGGGGCTGAGGGAAATCTGCAACCATCCCGCATGCACCACGGCCCAAGCAGGGGGAATGGAGGGTTTCGGGTTTCTTGGGCTGAATGGCTGAGGAGTATTCAACTCGCAACCCAAACCCCCTAGGATTACTATTGGGGCCTGAATACGAGAACTATAATAAAGAACTCCCAAAGACCCTATTCTAATTCTTAAGACCCTTACATTATAGATATGTTTAGTTTGTAGTGCTTGGGGCGACGGATTCTGGTTTAGTATTCAGGATTTGGGAGCTCCATGCCCTGAAGCTCTGGGTGTGTTGCCACCAGCCCCTGTAAATCCTGAGCCACCGACCCTAAACCCTAAACCCTGACCCCTAAACCCTAAACCCTAAACCCTAAACCCTAAACCCTAAACCCCAGCAGGCCGTATCGCTAGTGCGATGGCTTGGTGCTGCTTTTGATGTAAGGTATCGGTTGCCAGGCAGTTGTTCGATGATACGTCCAATGCCCCAACCCCCACACTCCCTTCGCTCAGCATCAAAACTTAACCTGAAGCCCCTAAACCCGAATCCTAAACCCTATTTCACGAACCTTTGACCCCTCTTCAGCTAGGGTTTTGGGAAGCTTGGTTGTGCAAGGTCCCTAAACCCGAGACTGGAAACCGTACGCCCTAAACCCCTAAACCCCTGAACCCCTAAACCCCTAAACTCAAAGCCCTGAACCCTCAAACCCTAAACCCTATCAAACACAAATGACTCTGAACTCTGAGCCCAAAATCCTCAACCCAAAGCTCACAAACCCTTATAGAACCCCAAATGAAACCCGACGAAGAAGCACCGGGGTGTAGGGTTGAGGGTTTAGAGTTCTTTGATTAATCCTTAACCCTAACATCCCTAAACCTCAAAGCATCCGTAGGGATCGGGACAAGTAGTTTATAGTCCCTATGTGACTATTGGTCACCATTAATGCACCCCCAAGACCCTTTTCAAACCACTACAGCCCAAACCCTAGGGGCGAACTTCATGTCAAGAAAACTACGTTGGAGTTCCAGGTTCTGGGACATTTGTTAGCACAACAGGTTGACTGAAACATATACTTCCCTCCCGGGAGTCTAGTGTACATTTCTTAAATGCATTATCTATCTGTTCATCACCCGCAAGTAAATCTCATCAGCATGGCGTGGTTGAGCAGTTCCAAAACGACTATTTGCTTTCCAGGTCCTCCCAAAAGCGATCTTTCGTGGTTTAGGCACCCTGCCCTGCCCCTGCCCTACCCTGGCCGCAAGCGTAGAGGTCAGAGACAGCTCAGAAAGCCTGCTCCTTCTGCAACCCCGTGACGACATCGTTCTCACGCTTGTAGCGGTGTTCTTCAGCAAGTAAGACTGTAAGACTGAAAAGTCTAAAGTTCCTAGAATTGGTGGCTTTCAGGGTCTCAAATAATTTATTGTTGGGGAGCTCAGAGTCTCAAACAATTTATTGCTGGGGCACTCAGTGTCTGATTTTTTTGCAGATGTCTCGACCGTACCCCAAACCCCCTAAGCCCCAAACCCTCCCTAAACCCTAAACCCCCTAAGCTCTAAACCCCAAACCCCAAGGCCAAAGCCCCCTGCCCAGGTCTCGACAAGAAGCGGCGACCGTCCGACGTCGCGGCTGCAGACTACCCGGCCGCAGAGAAAGAGAAGGCTTTTATGAGTGTGAATGAATATATATATATATATATATTACATAGAAATGGTGTTCCTATTCAAAGAGGGTGATTATAAGGGTTCTATAAGGG